GGTCAAGGCCTCGACTCGCCCCCGCCGTCCAGGCCTCGCCCCTCCAGGCGTCTCCTCGTCCAGGCCCCGCTCCGCAGGCCAATAGCTCAGTCCCAAGCCCGGTCCCATCCACCCCGAGTCCCGCCTCTCCCTGGCCCTCTAGGCTTCTCAGTCCCCTTCAGACTCAGCCGCCAAGAGAAGAGAGGCGGTGGTGATAATCCTGCCACCACCCAGCACAGCCACTGTTTACTGGGCGTCCGTCTGATGCTTCCTGAGTTTTCAAGTACCAGGCCTTTTGTTATTCCTATTTTGAGATGAGAAAACTGAGGCTCAGGGAGGTCAAGTGACTTGCCCAAGGCCACACAAGGCTGAACCGCCCACTCAGACCCGCCCAGGACCTGGCTCTCGTCCCAGGGCTGGTGGTGAGGAGAGGGTAGGAGGCCTCTGGGGCTGGAGCCTCAGTTTCTGCAGGGAGAGGAGAGGCCTCCCCCCAGTCACCACAGGCATTTGAACACCTCTATGCTCTGAGTTATCCCTAGCCCACCCCCAGTGCTGAATCCCCCACCCCGTGGAGCCTGGGCTGTGCTGTGCCAGCCCGCAGTTACCCCATGTGCATCTGGTCTTCCGTTGTGCGTGTGCATGCGTGTGTGTGCAGACCTGAGTTGCCTCATCTCCTGCGTGCACGGCTGGGGCGGGCTCCTGAGGACAGGGTGGTGTCTTGGAGTCACTGTGGTGCTGTCTGACTTGGGGAGCAGTGCAGCCTGTTGGAGGGAGCCTCGGGGTGGGGCCCTGCAGCTAAGCCCTGAATCCGGGACCTTCCTTTGTCCACAGTGTCCCCCGCTGAAGGGCAAAGTCCAGCGGATCCTGCATTGGAGGTGGACAGAGCCCCCGGCCCCCTTCATGGTGGGGCTGCCCGGGCCCGATGTGGAGCCTGGTGTTCCTCCACCCAAGGCCCTGGAGGGCATCCCAGAGAGAGAGTTCTTTGTCAAGTGGGCTGGGCTATCCTACTGGCACTGCTCCTGGGTGAAGGAGCTGCAGGTGAGGCGCCCAGGCGAGTGTGGCTGTACTAAGGCTCAGGACCTAAAACGCGCCGGCCAGCTCCCTGAGCAAGGGGCGTTGTTGGGAGCTGGAAAGGAGGGAGGCTGAAGGCGTGGACTGTCCTGCCTGGGAGCCAGGCTAGGGGCCCAGGGAGCTGGGCTGGGGGACATGGTGTCCGGCCGCCCCCGCCTCCCGTAACCTCTGCCCCTCCACGAGCAGCTGGAGCTCTACCACACGGTGATGTATCGCAACTACCAAAGAAAGAACGACATGGACGAGCCGCCCCCCTTTGACTACGGCTCTGGCGACGAAGACGGCAAGAGCGAGAAGAGGAAGAACAAGGACCCGCTCTACGCCAAGATGGAGGAGCGCTTCTACCGCTACGGCATCAAACCCGAGTGGATGATGATCCACCGCATCCTGAACCACAGGTGCGCTGCGGGCCTGGCCCCCAGCCTCGCTGGGGTGGGATGCGTGGTGGGTTGGGCCCCTGTGGTCCTGGGCTTCTGCGGAAGTCAGCGCTTGATACCTGCGGTCGCGCCCTGGGGACCACGGTGCGCCTGTGGTGCGGGGGCATGCACACGTTTGCTCTTCCTTTTTAACGCGGCTCACACCACTGTGCGCCATCTACCCCAGGAGGTGGTGTTTCACCCCCACTTTTGTGTCTGTGGACACGAGCAAGGTTAAGTCACTTGTACAAAGTCACACAGCCGAGAGGCAGTGGAGCAGGGATTGGAACCCATGCTTTTCTGATGGCAGGACTTGCTTTCTTGGCCACTGTTCCAAACTCCAGTGCCCCTGTGACAACTCTTTGTTGAGCAGGCTGAAATTCCCCAGGTGCCAGTGGTCAGAGCCTCTGCAGAGGTCGAGCCAAGAGACCAAGGCAGGAGGCCCATGAACGCTGAGTGTGGGTTTGGTTTGGTGGGAGGTGGGAGCTCTCGCTGATTCCCCAGCCCTAACCCTAACCCTTTACCTTTATTAAATTTCATGTCCAAAACCCAAGTGAACAACACTGTAAACTGACTATACTTCAATAAAAAATAAAACAATGTCAAACAAATAAAGTAAAATAAATGATAACTTAGCTATCAATAAAATACTTTATTTGACATTAAGAACAATGTATATTAAATGATTTGTGAAAATGTCCCTGAATATCATTAAGCTGGATGTGTTATAAACCTGCATAGTGTTTCTAAAAAATAAATATGTATATAATTGATATATTAAATATTTGGCTAAAAGGAAAAAAAACAGACGTAAATGCCACCTTTTCTCCCTGCCTTCAAAAAGCAGGGCAGGTGAATTTCCTCCAAATTTGTTACTTGAATGAAGTCTGGATAACGACCAATCATCTATTTAAAAAAAAATCCATCAGTTTCCATGATGACCAGGAGTGGTCTTCCTCTCTGTGGTCTCCAGGCTAGCCACCGTCACTGCCGTGTAGGGGAGCCATGGCCCCCCCTGCTCCTCAGTGCTGCCCTGGCTTGGTTGCCTAGTCAACTCGGGTTGGGTGGGAGGCCCCCAGGACCCTCCTGGGAGCTATATTCAAGCTACAGTGTAAGGTGCTTCTCTGAAGGACCCCCTCTGTGCTTCTGGCTCAGCCATCAGGTCCCCGTGTGTCTGGGGGCCTTTGGGAATTGCAAAGGAATTGCATTCTTCTCTACTTTGCGGAGATGGGCCCCAGACCTGGATGGGCACTGGTTCAGTCCTTGGGAATTTTTTTTTTTCTTTTGATGGAGGTACTGGGGATTGAACCCAGGACCTCGTGCATGCGAAGAATGAACTTTATCACAGAGCTATACCCACCCCTCTGCTTGGGAGTTTGTAAGCAAGAAAACAAAGGTCTATGGTCAGCGGAAACCTTTCTGACTTGGAGATGGAGAATTCTGGGGAACTCTCCAGGACAAAATGGGATTCGCTGCCCCAGAGGACGGAGAGGACACTGGCTCTTTGCTGCTCCGTTAGCATGGCCCCCCAGATGTCCCTCTCCACTCTGCCTCTCACCCTGTGCCCTCCTCCCTCCCTCCCACTCACTGTGTGGCCTCGGTCGAGCCGCCTTACCTGTCTGGAGTCACTGCCCTGGTGCCACCCTTCTGGCTGGGGTTCCCCGGGGACCGTGGGAGTGAGAGGCTCTGCATCCTGTGAGGTGCCCTCTTTGGACTCTTGCTTCGGCCACTGCCCAAGTGACCCCCCTTTTGTTTACTGTGTTGCAGCTTCGACAAAAAGGGGGATGTGCATTACCTGATCAAGTGGAAAGACCTGCCCTACGACCAGTGCACCTGGGAGATTGACGACATTGACATCCCCTGCTACGACAACCTGAAGCAGGCCTACTGGGGCCACAGGTGGGCTGCGTGGAGCCGCTGGGGGGGGGTCCCGCCTCCTGGTACCTCTGCCCTGGCCCTTCATCCCTCGCTCTTTCCCAGGGAGCTGATGCTGGGAGAGGACGCCAGGCTGCCCAAGAGGCTGATCAAGAAGAGCAGGAAACTGAAGGACGATAAACAGGAGAAGCCCCCGGACACGCCCATTGTGGACGTGAGTGGGGAGGGGCCCCGGGATGGGGTTGCCAGGGCCGCCACCCAGGCTCTGGGGGACTCTGCCTTGGAGTGCCGCCCGTCCACTCAGGCCAGGCACCTGGGGGGTGAGGGTGACAGGACCCAGCCCCTCCTGGCAGCGGTCCCCAGCCTCATGCAGAGGGGCAACTCCCAGAGGACAGAGCGATCTGAGGATGGCTTACCAGTGCACCAGCTGGGGAGCAAATAGTTTCTACTCAGCGTGGCTCACGAAATTGCATTACTTTAGATGAGCTAATTCCAAGTATTTAAATCGGAAAGTGTCTCTTACTTCAGAACACAACAGCTAATGTGCAAATCACACACCATTCTTACCTGTTTAGGGGGAGGAGACCCACAGCCTGCCCCAGGAGCTTTGAGCCTGTCAGGGAGTGGAAGGTTGACTTGTATTCATTAAGCCAGCCTCTCTGGGGTGTCTGCTAGCACCCGGCCCTGGGCTGGCCCTGGCCCCCTGTTTCATGAGGTGCTTATCTTCCAAGGGCCCATGGCAGGTACACACAGAAACGGGGGTTCACCTTAGGACTGCGGGTTGCCAGGGAAAGGTGAATGGGTCTGAAACATCAGGAGGACTTCATGGAGGAGGTGGCCTTGTGCTGCAGAGTGAAAGAGGCAAAGAGGGTGATGTTGGGCATTAAGCACCCTGGCATCATCAAAGGTTGGCTATGTGCCCCCTGTGTCCTGGGCACTATATGGAACTCAGAGAAAGCAGGAGTGAACAGGATCAGCAATTGTGACCACAAGCTGGGCTCAAAATCAGAGAGTCCAGCAAAGGAAACTGCCCTCATAGGAGAATACATGTGTCCTCATGGGAAGACACGATGGGAACACCTAAGCCAGGCTGGGTGTCGGGGAGGACTTCCTGGATAAAGAGGCATTTCCCCTGAGACGTCAAAGATGAATAAGCTGGGGATGAGAGGAGTGGGAAGAAGATTCCAGGCAGAAAGAATTGTGTGTGCAGAGGCCTGGGGGGCGGGCCCTGGGGGCCCAGGATCTGGGGTGTGTCTGAACCTTTGCCTCCCTTGCAGCCCACGGTCAAGTTTGACAAACAGCCGTGGTACATCGACTCCACGGGCGGCACGCTGCACCCCTACCAGCTGGAGGGCCTTAATTGGCTGCGCTTCTCCTGGGCCCAGGGCACTGACACCATCCTGGCCGACGAGATGGGCCTGGGCAAGACGGTGCAGACCATCGTCTTCCTCTACTCGCTGTACAAGGAGGTTCGCGGGCCGCGGTGGTTGGCTGGGGAGGGGTAGCCCGTGCTGGCTGTGGGCCGGCAGCCTCCCCACATCCGCCTCCCTCCCCAGGGGCACTCCAAGGGGCCCTACCTGGTCAGCGCGCCCCTGTCCACCATCATCAACTGGGAGCGTGAGTTTGAGATGTGGGCACCCGACTTCTACGTGGTCACCTACACGGGGGACAAGGAGAGCCGCTCCGTGATCCGGGAGAACGAGTTTTCCTTTGAGGACAACGCCATTCGGAGTGGGAAGAAGGTGTTCCGCATGAAGGTGAGCACCCTTCTCCCCGGGGGACCCTGGACAGGCGCCTGGTCAGCCCAGGGGCGCAGGGGCCCTGCAGTGCAGCCGGGGGGGTCTCCCCTAGGGCTCCGGTGGACGCAGTGGCTGGCAAAGGGCAGAGCTACCCACTGTGTTGGTGTCCTGGGGCTGCTGCAGCAGAGGACCACACACAGGGATGCTGAAAACAGCCACAAACACGTACTCTCTCATGGCTCTGGAGGCCAGGAGTCCAGGACCCCCCTGTCAGCAGGGTCCTGCTCCCCCTGAGGCTCTGGGGGTGGCTCCTTCCCACCTCTTCCAGCATCTGGTGGTGGCAGGTGCTTCTTAGCCATCCTTTTCCTGCAGCGGCATCGTTTCAGTTTCTGCCTCTCTTGTGACACAGCCGGCTCCCCTATGTGTCTGTGTCTCCTCTTCTTATAAAGACACTCCTCTCATCTCAATTAATTACACCTGCAGAGACCCTAGCTCCAAAAAAGGTCACATCCTGAGGTTTTGGGTGGACGTGGATTTTGGACGCTTCAACTCGGTCCACCAGCTGTGTGACCTCTGGCAAGGCATTTCACCTTCCTGTGCTTCAGGTTCTTCTCAGCCAAATGGCGATGACAGACCCACTCCAGAGTTGTGGAGGGTCGAATGGATGAGTAAGCACTAGGCAGGGCCTCTTGGACTTCCCTGTGCCCCCGGGCCACCCTTGGTCTTGCTGAAGGGCAGGTTCTGATCCAGCAGCTCTGGGATGGGGCCTGAGAGTCTGCATTCCTGACAAAGTCCGAGGTGGTGAGCGCTCTGCAGGTCCTCGGGCTGCACTCTGAGAAGCAAGGACCGGAAGCACTCAGTACTTGCTGTGCCTGGCACGTGCTAGGCCCGCAGGAAGTCTTGGCGCTCACCTCGCTGCAGTACTGGGGGCTGCCGATCATCCCCCAGGCTCCCCAGGGTGCCTTCCCACAGCTTTCTCCATCGTCTCAGAACGATGCTCAGTCACTGTTGGTGGAATGAGGGAATGGCTCAGTGATCCCGGAGGTCACTCTGCAGACGGCTGGGCCTGTGGGCCGGTCAGTCACAGAAACGCTGGGGTACGGTGATGGGCTGGCCGCTCCACTGACTCAGCTTTTTGATTTATTTTATTTTTTAAAATTGTGGTAAAATACATTTAACTTGCAATTTTCCATCATAACCATTTTACATGCACAGTTTAGGGACATCAAATACATTCACACTGTTGTGCCCCCAGCACCACCATCCATCTCCAGGACTTTCATCCTGCAAGACTGAAACTCTGTGCCCGTTAAACACTATGGGGTCACACAGTATTTGTCCCTTTGTGTCCTGGCTCACTTCACTCGGCATAACGTCCCCAAGGTTCATCCATGTTGTAGCAAGTGTCGGGATTTTTCTTTTTTACCCCCCACCTCTATTTATTTTTAATTAATATTTTCTTTTTTAAAATATGCTTTCTTCTTTTTTCTCAATGAAGGTACTGAGGATTGAACCCAGGACCTTGTGTATAGTGTCTTTTTTTTTTTCTTTTAATGGAGGTACTGAGGATTGAACCCAGGACCTTACACATGCTAAGCATGTGCTCTACCACTGAGCTATACCCTCCCCATAGGATTTCTTTCCTTTTTAAGGAAACTTGGGTGTTTCTACCTTTTGGCTCTTGTGAATGATGCTATGAACATGGGTGTGCAAATATTCGTTCCTGCTTTCACTTCTTTGGGGTCTCTACCGAGACATGGGATTGCTGGACCATGTGGTAATTCTATGTGTGATTTTTTGAGGAACAGACTTGGCTCTTTTAATTCTCACAGCACTCCTCCCATAGACAGTATTGCTCCCATTTTACAGGTGAGGAGACTGAGGCCTGGGGAGGTTAATTAACTTGACCAGGTCTAGCTCTAAAGGGCAGGGCAGGGTGCAAACCCGGGTGCTGCCGACAGGCCCCCCCCCGCCCCTCTCTGCCCGCTTCCCGCCTCTCGGGTGCGGTGCTCTGGGCTGCAGCTGACCCCTCCGCTCAGCGGCCCAAGTCTCCCTCTCAGTCCCTGGGCTCTCTGGGGGCTCCTGTCCACCCTCCTCCTCGCCCCTTTATTTCTGGAGACTGTGATCTGCTCTCCTCCCAGCTCTCCTCCCAAAGGCTCCCTTTTCTCTCCAGAAAGAAGTGCAGATCAAATTCCACGTCCTCCTCACCTCCTATGAGCTCATCACCATCGACCAGGCCATCCTGGGCTCCATCGAGTGGGCCTGCCTGGTGGTGGACGAGGCCCACCGGCTCAAGAACAACCAGTCCAAGGTAGGTGGCGCTGCCTGCTGGGCCCCGGAGCTGCCTTGGGGGGCCGGCTGCCCCATGCCCCCTGACGGGCCCCCTCCTCCCCCAAAGTTCTTCAGGGTCTTGAACAGCTACAAGATCGATTACAAGCTGCTGCTGACGGGGACCCCCCTTCAGAACAACCTGGAGGAGCTGTTCCACCTCCTCAACTTCCTGACTCCAGAGAGGTTCAAGTGAGTTAGCGGGAGGCGGGCTGGGGGCGGCCAGGGGAGACGTGGCAGTGCCCCTCCGGGCCCTGGGACTGCTCGCTGGGCCTCGGTTTCCTCATCAGCAAAATGGGAGGGTTAACAGTGCCTGCCTCCAGCGACCTGTGCGCGAGTCAGGAAATGTCAGCTGCTGCTAATGCTGCGGTTTTCCCTTGGCTCTGCCCCAGCAGACCCCTGGGGGTCCTCCTGGGCCCCTGCCCCCATGCCTCTGGCTCACTCCTTTCCATCCCCAAAGATCTAAGTGCCCACCTGGGCCACAGTGATGGGGGTGCTGGAGATGAGGGTGAAGATGGATCCCTGGCCTCCTGGTCTCCACTGCCCCCCACATTTTCCTGCTCAGAAAGGGGGCTCAGGGTGGAGAGTGCTGCTTTTGGAATCAGGAGATGTAGATTAGAGGCCAGACTGGACCAGATAACCTTGGGCACCTGCCAGCCTCAGCTTCCTTACCTGTAATATGGATGAGAGTCCTAAGGACCTCATGTCTAGCACGGCGTTAAGAACAGGAAGGTATCCTCTGTGGCTGGGACAGCTGTGATGTGTGGGGGTGACACAGGCTTAGACAGAGACTGGGCACCTAGAGCAGGACCAGGGCCTCCTGGCCCACTAGCCAGCTGGCCTGTCCTGTGACCCTCTGGCTGGCCTGCTCCCTCACCCCAACCCTGGCTCCCTCTGTAAAGGGCCTTGGCCTGCTTCACGCTCTCATTCCATCCTTTTCTTGCAGCAACCTGGAGGGCTTCCTGGAGGAATTTGCTGACATCTCCAAGGAAGACCAGATCAAGAAACTGCATGACCTGCTGGGGCCGCACATGCTGCGGCGGCTCAAGGCCGACGTCTTCAAGAACATGCCGGCCAAGACCGAGCTGATTGTCCGTGTGGAACTGAGCCAAATGCAGAAGTGAGTGGAGCTCAGCCCGCCGGGGGCCCCTGGGCTTGTCTTCTCCCTGAAGGGCCTGACCTGGCCCGCCTTCCTGGGCCACTCAAGGCCTCAACTCAGCTTTTGCACTTGCTTCCTTCTTGGGGCCTCTTCTTATTTCAGTGAGCTGGGTTGGGGCTGCCTGAGTTCGTGTGCTGTCCCCCAATAACTTGCTGGGTGATGCCAGGCCTGGGGCCTCACCTCTCCGGGCTCCCCTTGGTCCCTCTGTGACTGGGTGCTTGGCCCCCAGCCTCCAGCCTCCTTGCAGAGCAGAGTGCCCTCTGGGAGGCGGGTGTGGCCCGGTGTGGCCAGCCCTCCTCCTCTCCTTCCTCTGCTCAGGAAGTACTACAAGTTCATCCTTACGCGGAACTTCGAGGCGCTCAACTCCAAGGGGGGCGGGAACCAGGTGTCGCTGCTCAACATCATGATGGACCTGAAGAAGTGTTGCAACCACCCCTACCTCTTCCCCGTGGCCGCCGTGGTAGGTCCCCGTGGCTGCCGCTGTGGCCACCGTAATAGGTGCCCTTGACCACCATGGTGAGTGCCTGAGACAGTGGTAGGTGCTCATGGCTGCTGTGGTGGGTCATCTGTGGCCTTTGTGGCAAGTGTCCTTGGTCGCCATGTGCCCCTGGCTGCTGTGGCAGGTGCTCAGAACCTCAGCCTCCAATCTTCCCTGAGTATGAGAACTTGGAGGTGATATATACAGGTCCCCATTGTGCCAGAAGTTTCTGAAAACCTACTTCCATCCACCAGTTGGGGAGGCCTTCTCCTTCCATTGGCCCCTCCTTGTGACCATAAAGTAATGGGTCATCCCAGGGTCCCCTCCAGCCTCAGCATCAGGGGACCCTAGGCTAGGATTCTGAGGACTGATCTGGCCCCACTCCATCACCCAGGGAGTCAGGAGGCCTGGGTGGGGCCCCCAAGTGATTCAAATGTGAGATTGGACCCTCCATCAGACACCTAGCTCCAGCCCTGTGGTGTCGGGACAGTCAGTGGTCCTCTCAGAGCCTCAGATTTTTCCTCTACAAAATGTGGCCAATGACAGCATCTACTTGAAAGGGTGAGGATCAGACGAGAGAGTCCGCATAAGGTGCCCTCAGCTATTCTGTTTCTAATTTAAATCCTCCACAGTTTATACCTTCCTCTCCCCAACCCCTAAACAAAAAGACCACTGCATAGTTAGGTGAGAAGGCTGTGCTGTGGGCGACCCAGACTCGAGGCAACCCCAGGCCACTCTCATAACTCTGGCCCGGCAGATGCTGGGCTGACATTCTGCCAAGCTGGGGTTCTGGGTTGGCCTTGCCTGGATGGCCCTGCAGTGACTGCAGAGGCAAGGCCAGATTCCTGCTGGGAAGGTGGGCTTGGCTCAAGACTGTGTCATCCGTCCATCCACTGATGTCTGTGGTCTTGGTGGAGTACCAGCAGGGGGAGACAGAGGGCGGGGCCAGCAAGTCCGAGCCATGCTCCCTGTGGGGAGAGTCCGTGTGACCCTGGGCCTGTCCGTCCCTGCGGAGCCTGGCCTGACCAGGCCTTGGGCTTGGTACTTAGCCCATTGCTGGGCCTCTGTCCAACCCCCGGGACCTCTTTGGCGCAGAGCCAGAGGAGAGAGCCCCCCCCGCCATGCCCCACCTTCTGCTGTGTCTACAGGAGGCCCCCGTCCTGCCCAATGGCTCCTATGATGGCAGCTCGCTTGTCAAGTCTTCAGGGAAGCTCATGCTGCTGCAGAAGATGCTCAAGAAACTGCGGGATGAAGGACATCGTGTGCTTATCTTCTCGCAGGTGAGCTGCCCCCAGGTGGCTGGCTGGCTCTGCCTCCCCAGCCCACCTCCCACCTGCAGAAGGCGTCCTATTCCTGCCAGCTGAGGGCACAGCCTGCTGGCAGCCTTCAGGGCCTGATGCTGTCCCCACGTGGGTTGCATGTGAAATGTCTCTCCCCTGGACCTTGGCATGATGCAGCCAAGGGGTGCTGGCTGGGTGCCAAGTTCAAGGCACTCAGGACACATTGGTTGGGGGGGGACACTGGTCCTCCCTACCACCTGCCTCTTCTGGCCTGCTCCTCCTGGAGCTTCCTGTCCAGGCTGGGATGACAGCTCTCGCCCCTTACCCCTGCAGCCTGGGTTCTCATGAAGGTGGGGCCCTGGGGTTGGTTTGGGAGGAGCCCTGTGGTGGGGGCAATTCGGGAAGGGGGGGTCCCTCTCTCTAGCTGGATCCTGAAGTTGCATTTTCAGCATCGCCTTTTGGGCAGTCAGAGGTAGGACTGTCCAGTCTCAGAGGTCTGTTCCTTCACCCTTTTGCATCTGTCATACATCAGGCTCTGTGCTGGGCACGGGGGGGTCCAGCTCCTGTCCTCAAGACATTCACAGTCTAGTGTGGGAGATGGAAGTAGAGACAGTTATCCAGTCCCCAGGTCATCTCTGTGAGGGGGGTCAGTGTGGTCCTAGGGGCCTGGTGCGAGCAGTGCTCCCCAATGAGAGGACTGCGCCAGGCCCGTTGCTCAAAAGCGGAGACTAGGATGTGGCTCCTCTGTGTCCAAGAGTCAGCAGGTAACCGCTGCTGCTGCCTGCAGTCCCTGAGCCCACCCTGGGCCTGCAGCAGGTTGGGGAGTCTGGGGGCAGCTGGCCAAGCCTGTGACAGGGGGCTGGCTTGGAGACTGGGATCCACAGTCCCCCAGCGCCCTGCCAACGTGAGACATGGTTCTGGGCTGAGGCCCCGAGGGAGCACGTAGAAGGAACCGCACAACTTCTAGAAGTGTCCACAGAGAGAGTGACGGAGACAGAGCCCTGCCATCCCAAATAAGCCTGCAAACCCCAATTCAAAACTCGTGACAACATTCGGTGAGACATCCCACAAGACAGGAAGTGAACCCAATTGATAAGGATAATAGAATAGCCCGAAAAAGACTTCAAAGAAACGCGTTTCAGATCCTCAGAATTACTAGAGTAACACTCATAAATCAAGATTAAATCAATTAAGCATAAACAGCAAAAAATGAAACAAGACTAACTGGACAGGAAAAGGATCTGCACGAAATTGAAACAAAACATTCCAACCGATTGGATAAACTCTCAACACTGTTGAAGAGAGCCTTGAATGGGAGCCTGGCACTGAGGAATTTCCCCAGAGTGCAGCACTGAGAGACAAAGATAAAAATGAGGAATTGCATGGAGGATGCCGCGAGAGGCTCTGGTCATTCTTTAATAGGAGTTGCAGAAGAAGAGACAGAGAAAACAGAAGAAGCCAGACCTAATGAGAGTTTGCAGACCTGGAGAAAGACATGAGATCCCAGGTCTGAAGGGCACTCTGAAGTACCAAGCAAGATACATATAAATGAAGGAACCCCTAGGCACATCGTAGGGAAAACACCACACTTCAGACCTAGTACCAACGCAGGACTGACATTCAGACTGTCCTCAGACTTCATACTGGCACCAATAGGTGGCAGAAGACGGCTGTAGAATCTTCAATATACTACAGGAAGGTGGCGACTGATCATTTCATACGCAGCTAAACTGTCTCTCAAGAATGATTAGGGGAGGATTATGGGAGCTAAGCAGGGACTGCCTTTCCCTTTTCATAGGGAAGAGGGAAGTCAGGGAAGGCATACTCGAGAGGTGTGTTTGAGTTCCTGGCAGTACGGGGGTGGGAAGCGGGCCCAGGTAATTGGGGATAGTTGGAGGGTGCGAAGGATACATTGGGGAATGAAGCCCAGATGGGCTGGGCACCTGCAACGCCAGGGTGAGGGTTTGGGACTTCATTCGGTGAGGTGAGAGCAGGGAGGCGCATGCTCAGAGCTGGGCTTGGGGCACATGGCTGTGGGGCTGGTGTGGGGATGGAGTGGCTCCAGGGGTTGAGGTTGGAGGCCACATTCTTCTTCAGAGAGCCCCGCATCAGGTCTGCCTGGGTCCCACCTGCCTCCCCACTCAGTGGGCTGCTCTGTCCTCCCTCAACTGTTGTGGGGTCCCTGGCCACGGCCCCATGGGGTTCCTTGCTCTGCAGCAGCTCCTCAGACTTACCATGTCCCCTGCAGATGACCAAGATGCTGGACCTCCTGGAGGACTTCCTGGAGTATGAGGGCTACAAGTATGAGCGGATTGACGGTGGCATCACTGGGGGCCTCCGGCAAGAGGCAATTGACAGATTCAACGGTACCTTCGCCTTACTCGAGAGTCCTTGACTGGGACCCCTGTCTGCCTCTCCTCCCGGGCCAGGATCTTAGCCAGACCACCCAGCTTATGGTCAAATTAGCTACTCCTCAAATGGGTGAACAGAGCAGACCAGTCCTTAGGTCCTGATGGCTGCCTCTTAGTTTTAAATGGTAAAAGGAATTCATTCCATGGGGATGCCAGGATGCGAGGGGCCAGTGGATGACCCCTGATCAGAGCTGAGAAACAGACCAGGAGGAAGGCAGCGAGGGTGCGGACGGACTGTGGGCTTCTGATACTGACACCAGTTAACCTCTAGTTACAGACAGGGCTGGACAGGACCTGTCCGGTAAAACAGGCTGCGGGAAGGGACAGCTGAGCAGCGCTCCCTGTGGGCTTCTCAGAGGAAGGAGAGGGGAAGGGGCAGGGCCGTGCCTGCTCAGACTCCCAGTGCGCACTGCTTCTCGCCTGGGAAGGAGCCGTGAGGGTGGAGAGGCCAGGAGCTGGCGCTGTAGTGGAGGAAACGGCTGCAGGGAGAAGGGGGCCGCTGAACCAGTGCCTCCTTAGTGGCAGGTCTGCAGCAAGTAGTGACGAGCTCTGCTTCCCTGGGGCCTCCCACCCTCGGAGCAGGCTGAGGCCCCACAGCCCGAATGCCCAAGGCAGCACTTCCTCTTGCCCACTCGTGTCGGAGGGGAAGCGGGCGCAGTCTCAGGGTCTGGCTCTGGCGCCCCCACGTGGATGTGGGACGGGCCGCAGCACCGGGGACCTGGTGGCAGCTCTAGTGGGTGCCGTGCTCGTCCCTGGCCACTTAATGAAGGGCTCCAATGGGCCTGAGACCCGCTGTCTCATGACAGTGGGGACTGTGCAGAGGGGTGGCCCAGGCCCTGGAGCTGTGACCCTGAGTGTTCCTTGGCTGCCCTGACAGCGTCCTGGGCTGGGGGAGCCGGGAGGGCATGAGCCCGTATGTGCAGGCTGTTTGCAGTTTCTTCTTTGCCCTTCTGGGCTTTGAAAATTGATTCCTTCTCATTCTGCCGCCCTCCTGTTAGTTAAGGGCTCAGAGCACAGTTGGGGGTTACGTGGGGCTCAGGTGGGCTGCTCTGTCCCCACCTGGAGCCCCAGGCCTCCTCTGGCTTCCCTCGGCACAGCTGTGGTGTTGTTGTCTATGACGGGGTCGCAGTTCCTGCCCCTCTTTCCCTCTGGTCTCCCCTCCCGCCCTCCTGTTTGCCAGCCCCCTGGCCCCACCTCCACTTCCTGGGTGCACCCCTCCCTCACCCCCGGCACCTGCCTCTCTTCCTCAGCCCCGGGGGCCCAGCAGTTCTGCTTCCTCCTCTCAACCCGGGCAGGCGGCCTGGGCATCAACCTGGCCACGGCAGACACGGTCATCATCTATGACTCGGACTGGAACCCCCACAATGACATCCAGGTGTGTGGCCCTGACACCAGAGCCCTCTCAGAGGGCCCCTGGCTGCCCCTGGTTCTGTGGGCTTTCCTTCCCTCCCTCCTGAGAGTTGAGCCCCTCCAGCGACCTCCTTGTATAAAAGAGGAAGCAGCCCAGGGAGGGCAGGGGGCGCGTCTAAGAACATGCACCCATCTGTGTGAGCCATGAGCCTTGGTCTGTGCCATCACCCTTAGGATCAAGGCCATGGAGGGAGGCAGGACAGGGGAGTCCTGGGCCCAGAGGGGGCTGCTTTGGGAGGAACAGGGGACTAGAGTGAGGGGACAAGGCCTCTTGGAGGCAGGGAGAAGACCAGATGGAGGAGGGGGCAAATGGGGCTGGTGAGGAAGGATGGGAGGGTTGAGGGCTAGGGACTGTGGCAGCAGAGGCACACTCTGCTGTCCCCCAGCCACCCCCTCTTGGGGCGGGGCTGGACACTCACATGTTGAACACTTTGACTCTTGGGGGTTCACACACAATCTCATGTCTTGTGCACAAGGGTGTGCACCTGTGCACAGTCACCCACACAGATCTGATCACAGCCAGGTCACATCACTCAGACATCTAAAGCAGAGGCCCAGGCCTGTCCCCATATCACACCCTGTCCTCGCAGGTGGCCGTGCATCTCCAACAGGTGGGCTCATGGTCCCACCGGTGGTCACTCCCAGGGAGGTGCGGACCTCACCTCCGCATGACCACTCTGCATGACCAGAGCCCTGTGTGACTTCACTGCATCAAGTACCCTGGCCACACTGCCCCTCACACACACACCCCTACACACCTGCAGTCACGCCGAGTTCCACCTGCAGAGGCTCCCAGGCCCACACGAGACTGTGTGCGCACACGATCAGGATGTGAGCACAGCTGCCCTGGTGCATGCAGCTCTCCACGTGCAGTCCCGCAGCCGTTCCATGCTGCAGGCACTCAGGAGCACCTGTGTGTTCTCCCCGCATCCACCCGGTGCATGGCCTTGAGCCCCAAGCTGGGTTGAGCCATGGGTGCTAAGTTGCAGGTGTCCCCCAGGCCTTTAGCCGCGCCCACCGCATCGGGCAGAACAAGAAGGTGATGATCTACCGCTTTGTGACGCGGGCCTCTGTGGAGGAGCGCATCACTCAGGTGGCCAAGCGCAAGATGATGCTCACTCATCTGGTGGTGCGGCCCGGCTTGGGCTCCAAGTCGGGCTCCATGACCAAGCAGGAGCTGGACGACATCCTCAAGTTTGGCACAGAGGAGCTCTTCAAGGACGACGTGGAAGGTGGGCACCCAGGGTGCCAGGACGTGGGGGTGGGGGTGCCCTGCTGGAGACACACCCATCCCAGTGCCTGCCCCAGCACGCAGCCTCTCCCTCCTCTGTCCCCGCCCCTCCTGGCCAGGATGGGCAGGGTCAGGGTGGCATCTCTGGGTGCTGCCCCTGAGCCCTGCAGCCACTCTGCCTCTGTCCCACAGGCATGATGTCTCAGGGCCAGCGGCCTGCCACGCCCATCCCTGATGTCCCATCCTCCAAAGGGGGAGCCCTGGCCGCTAGTGCGAAGAAAAAGCATGGCAGCACCCCGCCAGGTAGGGGCCAGTCCCACCCAGCACCCTGCCAGGTAGGGGCCAGCGCCGCCCAGTACCGCACCAGGCAGGGGCCAGCCCCACTCAGCCCCTGCTCCTCCTGCACTCCAGACCTCTGCTTGCAGAGGAGGAGGTTCCTCAAGCTGTTTTGTTAGGCTCCCCTGCCTGCCCCCACCTGCCTCTCTCTTGGGTTCCTGTGGACTGCAGCTGGGTGGGCAGTGGGGCCGTTTCAGTGCAGCTTCCCCGGTCACCGCGCTCCTCTGCTGCAACCCCCAGCGGCCACTGGGAGTCTTCTTCCTCTGGGGGCCCCACGGCTGGACCTGGGCATCCTGTTGGTCCTCCAACTCTGCACCCTGTCTGCCTCCAGGTGACAACAAGGACGTGGAGGACAGCAGTGTGATCCACTATGACGATGCGGCCATCTCTAAGCTACTGGACCGGAACCAGGACGCCACGGACGACACGGAGCTGCAGAACATGAATGAATACCTGAGCTCCTTCAAGGTGGCACAGTATGTGGTGCGCGAAGAGGACGGTGTGGTAAGCCACGCCCCGCGGCCCCGCCCTCCGCGGCCCCGCCCTCGCCCCGCCCCCGCAGCGGCTTCTCCATCTGCACCCTGAAGCCCCAGTTATCCCGGAGGCCAGCTCCTGGGTCTCTCCTGAGTGGCCCCTTCACTCACGCCTCAACTTCCAGCAACCCCACACAGACCCTGGGTGCTAATTTTTCTTCCATGTGCCAGTTTTCCTTCTGAAACCAGGAGCCTCCTGAGGACGGGATTGGGGCTTATTCAGTTCTGTATCCCAGCGCCTGGCAGGAGGCCAGGAAATACTTGCAGAGTGAAATGAATGAATGGATGAATGAATGAATGAATTACCAGGATGGGAGCAGGAAGAGGAAGCCCAGCTGGGGCTGGGGTGATCAGGGAAGGCTTCCTGGAGTAGGTGGGCTTTCCAATTCATCCTTGAGCCCCTAGAGGGTGAGATGTGGTAGAGACGGCGAGGCCTCCAGGGGGCAGAGTTGCCGGCTGTGGCCCTCCCTACACGTGCGAGCGGTCCCGCCCTCACTGAGCCCGTGGTGCCTGTGCCCGCAGGAGGAGGTGGAGCGGGAGGTCATCAAGCAGGAGGAGAACGTGGACCCCGACTACTGGGAGAAGCTGCTCCGGCACCACTATGAGCAGCAGCAGGAGGACCTGGCCCGGAGCCTGGGCAAGGGCAAGCGTGTCCGCAAGCAGGTCAACTACAACGACGCCTCCCAGGAGGACCAGGGTGCGTGTCTGGCGGGCAGGGTCCCGACAGACGGGGAGGGCGCCCCTGCCACAGGAAGTCCCGGGGGCCGGAGAGCAAGCACCTTGTGGGATTGTCCTGAGCTGGGAAGCAGTGGGGAGGGCTTCTTGGAGAAAGGGGGCTTGGGGGCAGGTGTGGGGTGTTGGCTGTTTGAGGGAACAAGATGGGAAGTGGTTCAATGACTTCTAGTGGTGAGACTTTAGGCAAGCCTCAGTTTGTCCATCTGTAAAACAGGGGCGATGATGGAACAGCATGTTTGGGTACAGTGTAGTTTGTTGGGGTTGTGAAGTGCGTTCCCTAGAAGTCCATGGTCTGGTTTCGTTGGCAGTTACTGGGCTGGGGTGTAAGGGGTGGGTGTGGCCCTGGGTGTGGGGGGCTGCTTGCACAACTCGCTCTGTGCTCCTCTGCCTGACCCCCCACAGAATGGCAGGATGAGCTGTCAGACAACCAGTCCGAATATTCCATTGGCTCCGAGGATGAGGATGAGGACTTTGAGGAAAGGCCAGAAGGGCAGAGTGAGTCTCAGTGCTGGGGTAGAGTGACCCTGGGCTGGGGCCAGCTGTGTGTCGGGGAGCTGATGGCCAGCCCAGGGGTCCCCTGGGGGCATCAGGACAAACATCCATCCTTTGGAGTGGCCCCTGAGGGGTCCTGCTGTCCTGGGGCGAGTTGGTGGATGGGGTGTGTCCGGACACCCTGGGACCTGCTGAGGGCTTGTGGTGGGGCTGCTCCCCCAGGTGGACGGCGACAATCCAGGAGACAGCTGAAAAGCGACAGGGACAAGCCCCTGCCTCCTCTTCTTGCCCGGGTTGGCGGCAACATTGAGGTGGGGCCTGCTTGCACCCCTGCTTTCCCAATTTATCTCATCCCCTCTCAGAACAGAGTTCACCCCAGCTGCCACCCCTGGGGTGTGGAGGAGGGACGGGAGAGCTGGGGGCTATGCTGGGTCATACGCCAAGTAGAGGGGGAGCTGGGACATACCCCGGGTCTGGGCTCTGCCTTTTGGGTCTGGCCCCGGCTGGAGGCCCCCACCTTCTCAGTGCCCCTACCTGCCTCCTCCCCTGCCGGTGCCTTTCTCCCTCATCTCTGAATTCCCTGCTCCCCCTCCTTGCTCCCCACCCGGCCCAGGTGCTGGGCTTCAACGCGAGGCAGCGGAAGGCCTTTCTGAACGCCATCATGCGCTGGGGCATGCCCCCCCAGGACGCCTTCAACTCCCACTGGCTGGTGCGGGACCTTCGCGGAAAGAGCGAGAAGGAATTTAGGTAAAGGGGCTGAGGTGGTGGCCCAGGGTGTGGCCGCCCACCCCGGCATGGGCCGGCTTCGGCTGGGCGAGCCAGCACAGCGGGCAGCGTCTCCACCAGGCGGAGGGCTCCTGGACAGCTCACCGCCGTGGGGTGTTCGGGCAGCTGGGGGCCGGGCCGGGGCGGGGCTCGTTTGCAGAAGACGCTTACCAGCCCCCTCTGCCGGAGCAGCTGGTTTAACGGCAGCGGGAAGGCTCTGGGTTATCCCGAGTGAGAGGGAGCTGGCCCAGAGGTTCCCCTGCCTGGGAGGCACCCCGTGTCCTTCCCTGGGGCCAGCAGGCCTGGTTGGGAGGCAGGTGCGATGGGTGAGGATTCCAGCCAGGGGGTCCCCCAGGGGTCCTGCCAGCCCTCTCAGAGGGTCCTGTCAGCCCCTCACTCCCTGAGCCCCAGTCCCCCCCACCCCAGAGCCTATGTGTCCCTCTTCATGCGGCACCTGTGTGAGCCGGGGGCTGATGGCGCCGAGACCTTCGCGGATGGCGTGCCCCGCGAGGGCCTCTCCAGGCAGCACGTGCTCACGCGCATCGGGGTCATGTCACTAGTTAGGAAGAAGGTGGGTGAGTAAGCCTTTCCTGGCGGCCGCCCATGGCCCTGGTGTGTCCCTGGGGGTCAGAAGGCAGAGGGCAAGTGCCTGGCTTGGGGTCACACAGCTGCCCAGGGTCTGAATCAGGCTAAGGGGCTGACCCAGAATGCCTCTCTGGGTGGGGGTGTGGGGGGCCTAGAGGCCAGGATCGCAGGTGGAGACTGGGGTGGGGGTCGGACCTGGCATGGGGTTGATGGTCAGAAGTGCATTTGGCTTGGCCAGCCTCTGGTGGATGGGGCAGCCACCCCAAGCCTGGGATGCCCCCAGTCCCATCGGCTGCCCTGAGGCCCTAAGCTCTGAGCTGTGACCACCTCCCCGACCCTTCCCTCCCACCTGCCACAGGTTCAGGAGTTTGAGCACGTCAACGGGAAGTACAGCACCCCGGATCTGATCCCCGAGGGTCCCCGAGGGCAAGAAGCCAGGCGAGGCTGTCTCCTCGGATCCCAACACACCCGTGCCCGCCAGCCCTGCCCACCTTCTGCCTGCCCCGCTGGGCCTGCCAGGTCTGGGCTCCGACCAGCAGGGGAGGGCACCTGGGTCACGGGAGGTGGTGAGGCCCCAGGAGACCCCCACGAAGCATGGCCTCCCTCCCCCGGAAGCTTCTGCCCGCAGAAGTGTTGCTCCCCTGGGTTTTTCTTTTAAATGACAGTTTTGAGATGTAATTCACACAACCATAACATTCAGCCTTTAAAAGTGTGCTATCCAGTGGTTTCTAGTGCAGCCATTGCCTCTAATTCCAGCATGTTTTCATCACCCCCACCCCCGAAACGTACTCATCAGCTGCGACTCCCTATTCCCTGTCCCTGTTCTCCAGCCCCTCCTGGCAACCACCCATCTACTTTCTGTCTCTGTGGGTTTGCCTGTTCAGGATGTTTCATGCAAATGAAATTACACACTATGTGGCCTTTTGTGTCTGGCTTCTTTCACTAGCATAATGTCTTCAAGGTCCATCCGTGTTGCAGCGCGAATCAGCCCTCAGGTCCTCTTTGGGGCTGAGCGATAGCCCGTTGTTTGGCCTCAGCACACTTTGTGTACGCGTTCGCCGGCTGATGGATTTGGGGTTGTTTCTACCTTCAGCTATTGCGAGCAGTATTTTGAGTAGCATTGCTGGGAACGTTTGTGTTCAAGGGAAAACACGTGTTTTCATTTCTCTGGGGCGTGTGGCTGGGAGTGGGATCGCTGGGTCACGTGAGACGACATTTTGAGGAACTGCCAAACTTTCACAGCGACCACACCATTTTACATTCCTACCAGCCACATATGAGGCTCCGACTTCCCCACATCTTCCTCGGCACTTATCTGACTTTTTGCTCACAGCCATCCTAGTGGGACTGATTTTGACTTACATCTCTGATGGCTGAAGGCACTGAGAGTCTTTTCATGTGCTTCCGGGCTGTTTGCGCCTCTTTGGGGAGATGTCTTCTCCGTTGCTTTGCCCTTCCTTACAGGGCGTTTGTCTCCTAGTGTCTTTTTGGCGATTCGTGTATTTATCTGGGCAAAGTCTTCTTCCCTCATCTGGGCCCCGCACACCTGGGGCATCCTGCCTATCCCAGGTGACAGGCTGACAGGTGACAGAATGAGAACATGCTGTTCCTGGACACAAGTGTGCCCTCTGGAGGTGGACAAGCCTAGTTTACTTCCTGGCCCCGTGTGACCTTGGGCAAGTCACATATCTCGTGTGCTCTGTTTTCTTATCCGTGATGTGGAGTGGGATAGTGACCACCTCCCTATTCAGAGCATGTGGGGCAATGCTAAGAACTGACTCAGGGTGGAGGAGGCATACAGCCAGTCTGCTGGCCTGAAAGCCAGAACCACATCCAGCCGTCCAGGGTCCTAGTCCGGGCCTTCACCCACCTCGCCTCCCTGCTTCCAGATGGGCTCACCTGGTTCGCCTGGCCTTCTCCTGAACGCCAGGCCCTCCTCTCCCCTCTGATACCCCATTTCTTGCCCTTCTCCCCCTCCCCACCTGAGCCCACCGGTCTCACCCCTTTCCTTTGGTCTTTCAGACAAAATGGAAGCCCAGCTGGGCTACATGGATGAGAAGGAGCTGGGGGTGCAGAAGCCGAAGAAGTCCCCAGACATCCAGGTACGGAAGACGCTGGTGTTTGGGCCTCTGCGGGTGTTGGGTGGGATTTGGGTCTGGGGGCCTTCTCAGGCCTTGGCCAGGCAGCCAGGCCCCCTGGCTCTGAGTTGGAGCCTCTGGGTCTAGGGAGCAGGTTAGGAACAAGCAGGGGGAGCCAGGAGAGTGGGCTCCTAGCCCAGTGCCTGTTCCCTGCATCCACTCCTGCTGAGACCCCAGGCCCCGCAGCTCTCGAGTCTGTCCTCCCCAGGCCCTGCCAACTGGCCTGGACAGAGTGGAGGGCGAGGACAAGCATGAGAGCTCTGATGGAAAGGAGAGGGCCCGAGAGGAGCAACTGGAGGAGACGGAGAAGGCCCAGCCCTCACCGGAGCAGCTGCCGAAAGGTGCGGGTTTCCACCCTGATTTGGTCTCTGGCCTCAGTTGCCCTGGGTCAGAGAAAGGTGGCCAGGCTGTGTGCTACTCTGTCTGTCCTTGGCTGGGTGGTGGGCTGCCCCAGGGTGAGGGGAGAGCCAGGGACTTTACCGTTTCCTACTGTACAGTTCGGGAGTTCTTGGGCTATACCTTTTTATTAGTGGTTTCTGAGTCAGTTGTGTTGTGTTCTGAACACACGAGCCTGTATGATATTGTTTCTATATGATGTTGTTGAAATCTGCTTTCTGGCTTAATGTGGTCAGATTTTGTAAATGGTCACATGTGCTTGAAAAGAATGCCTGTTCTTTCGTTGTTGGGTGTCAGGTTCTAAATATATGCATTAGATCATTATGATGTTTAGATTTTTTATATCCTTACTCATTTTTGGCTTCCCTTGATCAGTCAGGTCTGAGAGACTTGTGTTAAAATCTCTCGCTGTGATTGTGGATTAATGTCTCTCCTTGCAAGGCCAGATTCTGCTTCATATAGTTTGGAACTGGGTTGTTAGGTGCATAGTGGTTCAGGTTTTTTATCGTCTTCTGGAGAAGTGTGCCTCTAATTATTATGTAATGACCTCCTTATCCCTTCTGATACTTTTTGCTTTAAAGTTTATTTAGGCTGATTTGGATCAAGCTTACTTTTGTTTAGTATGTACTTGGTGTATCTTTTTCTATCCCTTTACTTAAAAATGTAAATAAAAGTTTTATTGTGATATAATCCTACATACTAGACAGTTCACACATTTGAAGTGTACCGCCCAGTAGTTTTTAGTACGTTCACAAGGTTGTACAACCATCAGCACAATTAATTTTAGAACATTTTCATCATTCCCAAAAGAAGCCCTGTCCATTAACAGTCACTATCAATTTTCTCCTCCCCCGCGCCCCTGGCAACCACTCATCCACTCTCTGTCTCTGTGGAGTTGCCTGCTCTGGGCATTTCATATAAATGGAATCGTAAAATATATGCCTTTTTGTACATAACTTCCTTCACTGAGCATAGTGTTTTCAGGGTACGTCCATACTGTAGCAGGTATGGGAACGTCCTTCCTTTTTGCTCAGTAACATTCTCCTGTGCGGACAGACCACATTTTGTTTACCCATTCATCAACTGGTGGACTTCTGGGTTACTTCTGCTTTTTGGCTATTGTGAATAAGGCTGCTGCGAACATTTGCGTGCAGGTATCAGTGTGGCGTAGGTTTCAATTCTCTGAGTAGATACCTAGGAGTGGAATTGTTGGGTTGTATGATGACTCTATGGTTAACACTTTGAGGAACTGCCAGGTTGTTTTCTACAGTGGCTGCACCATTTGACATTCCTACTAGCATTGTATGAGGGTTCCAGTTTCCTTACATCCTTGTCAACACTTGTTATTATCTGTCCTTTTGATTTTAGCTATCCTAGTGGGTGATAAGTAGTATCTCAAATGGCTTTGATTTGTATTTCCCTTATGCATAAAAGTGTTGAGTATCTTTTCATGTGCTTATTGGCCATTTGTGTATCTTTGTTGGAGAAACTGTCTTTTCAGATCCTTTGCCCATTTTTTAATTGGGTTATTTGTCTTTTTATTGTTGAGTTATAAGAGTTCTCTATAGATACATGTTCCATATCAGATATGATTTGCAAGTGTTTCTTTCCTTTCCTTTCCTTTTACTCTTATCTGTGTAATTATGTTTTAGGTGTGCATCGTGTAAACAGTGTATGGTGGGATTTGTTGTTTTAAATGTAATCATAGAATCTCTGCCTTTTAGCTAGCAAGTTTAATCTCTTTACATTTATTGTAATAGCTAGGTGTTTGGATGGATCTCTGTTCTTGTTTTGTGCTTTCTATTCCCCTTGCCTTTTTTTCTTTTTTCCCCCTTGATATCTCTTGGATTGATCAATTTTTCTTTGTATTTCCCCCCTCCACCCCCAACTCCTTTGGAAAGTTGACAGTCAGTTCTATTTTGTGCTCTCACATTTGCAACATGTTGCCTTCTGAATGCTATAAGGACTTTAGCTGTGACCCACTCCCTTTTCATCTTCCACATGCTGTTGCTTATTTCTGAATCTTTAATCCCTTTTTTGATCTTGTCACATTCTTAGCAGTTTTGCGTTTGTTCATTATTGTTCACTGTCCTTCTTCCCAAAGTAGACCCGTTAGTGTTGCTTTCAGCAGATTTCTGTGGATGGCGAATTCTCTCATTGTGTGTTGTTTTTCCTTTACATCTTACTGTATTTTTCTTGAATAATAGTTAGCAAAATTCAAGGTGGGGTTTTCCCCCAGCACTTTGAAGATGTTATTCCTTTTGTATTCTGGCTTCCATTGTGCTGAGAAGGCTGCTCTCAGGGTAATTGTTGCTCCTTTGTAGGAAACCTGCCTTTTTTAATCTTTCCTAACTTGGAAAGACCATTTTTAAGATATTCTGTCTTTGGTCATGTGTGGTTTCACTACAATGAAGTTTTTATTTATCCTGCTTGCGACTGACTGTCATTCTTAAAGCTGAGTCTTGTATCTTTTGTTGATTATGGGCAAATTCTTAGTCACTCCCTTTTTGAATGCTATCTTGGCTCCCATTATGTTTATTTTCTCCTGGAATTCCTATTACCCATCGATTCATTCATTCCTCCAGCATATGTATATTGAAGGCTTGCTGGGGGCTGTCCTAGGCACCACTGGGGACACACACAGTGAACCAACAGCCAGAGCCTTCCCGTGGAATTTGCATTCCCCTGGGGGACACGAGTGATCAGCGATAAACACAAGTAGGTCTTGCTCAACCACAGACTTCAGATGCAACGAAGAAAAGAAAGTGGGTACAAGGCTAGTGAAAGATGAGGGCAGACGTGTCTTTCGCGTCTTTTACTTTTTTGTTTCCTGTCTCTCTGCAAGGCTTTTTGAGTCATCTTCAGACCTAGCTCCAGTTTCTACTTTGTTTATACAGCTGTTTTTAACTTATCCATCTATATTATTGTCTCTGGTTGCAAAAGACATTATTACAAATTTAGCAGCATGGAACAACACTCTTGTGTTAGCTCATCGTTCCATGGGTTGAAAGTCTGGCGTAGGGTGGCTGGGTTCTCTGCCAAGGGACTTGCAAGACTCAAGGCAAGGCATTGGCTGGGCTGAGTTCTTGTCTTGAGGCTTGCGGGGAAATCTGCTTCCAAGCTCATTCTTGTTGGCCAACTTCAGCTCCTTGGGGTTGGAGGACTGAGGCCCCCTGTCCTGTCTGGCTCTCAGCTGGGGGCCATTCTTAGCACCTAGAAGCTGCCCACGTTCTTGCCATAGGACCCACTGCATCTTCAAGCCAGCAATGGTGCAGCGAATCCCCCTCATGAATTGAATCTCTGATGTCTTTTTCTCTTTCAAAACCTCTGCTTTTAAGGGGCTGGTGTGATGAGTTCAGGCCCACCTAGATAATCTCCCTCTTTTAAGATCACCTGAGTCTCATCACATGACCTGCTCCCTGCAGTAGAATCCACCACATTCACAGTCCCGGAGACTCTGTGCAAGGCTGGTACTCCAAGGCCAGGAAGTCTCGGAGGACATCACAGAAATCTGCAGTGAAAATGTCTAAAATGTTAGTGATTGTGTATTTCGTTCTTGAAGTTTTATCTAGCTTTTTCTAAGTTCCTTAAGAAAAATTTTTTTTTGATGTGTATTTTCCTGTGAATTCTCTTCCTTCCTTTCTCTCTGGCCAATGGATATTGTTTTCTGAGCTTTGGGTGGATGCATCTGCATCAGGGACTGTTTTGTCCCTGGGAACCCCCATCACCTGGTTAACAGGGATGCCTCCCCACCTTTATTTCCAGAAGCCCAGGGCCCAGTGGTCTCACTAGTGGTCTGGCTGGTCCAGGACCAGTCTCCTTGGCACAGTTCAGACTCCACAGCCTGCACGCCCTTGTGTTGGGTTTGGCCCCTCACTGGAGACTTTCTGCCCCCAGGTTCCGTGTGGGAGCCAGGCAGGCTGGCCATGAGCTGGTGGATGGAACTTTCTTTCGCAGAGAGCATGGTGGTTGGAGCATGTTGGTTTAATTCCAGTTCATTTGGGTTCTTTGCATCTTTGGGGCTTGTGGCCTCATCCTTTCTGTCTGGGTGTTGAGACACAGCTGGAGCCCCCTGGTGTCTGCTCATCCCCTGCCCAGGCCCCCTGGCATATGTGTCTTGACCTTTTAATTTTCCTTCATTTATGGCACCTGATTTCCTTTTCTTCTGGTAAGCACACCCATGTGGTTTGTATGTATGTATGTATTTAATTGAAGTATAGTCAGTTACAATGTGTCAGTTTCTGGTGCTCAGCGTAATGTTTCAGTCATACCTATACATAGATACATCCCTTTTCATGTCCTTTTGTGTTATATGTTACAAGATATTGAGTATAGTTCTCTGTGCTGTGCAGTATAAACTTGTTTATCTATGTGTTTTTTTAAAATTGAAGTATAGTTGATTACTATATGTCAATTTCTGGTGTGCAGCGTAATGTTTCAGTCATACATGTATGTATATATATATTCCTTTTCCTATTTTTCATTATAGGTTACAGCAAGATACTGACTATAGTTCCCTATGCTGTACTATAGTAGAAACTTGTTTATATGTGTGTGTGTGTGTGTGTGTGTGTATTTTTTAATGTGATCCGTTTTGCCGGATGTTTCCGGGTGTTTGTAAGAGGGGTTTGTGTTAATGAAGGCTGGACACGTGGTGGGAACGTTGAGTCCTCTGGTTATCGCTGGTCCTCTGGGAGGATTTGGGGACTGTGCCTTGAGGTGTTTGGGAGGTGCTGCTGGGTAGGGTGGGTGGGGAGAGGTCCCGCTCCTGCCCCGCCTTCCCAGAAGACCTCCTTGACGGTGCCTGCATGTCCATTGGACTCCTAAGATGATGGGTAAGATCCCATGTGTGGCTAAAACACCATGGGGAAAGCCGCCAGCCCGGAGCCCCTCTGCCCTTCCAGACCCCTCTCCACTCTATGAACGTCCTGTGTCTTGCAGAAGAAGTGCTTCTGGAGAAGGAGAAAATTCTGGACAAGCTGGAGCTAAGCTTGATTCACAGCAGAGGAGATGGCAGTGATTTCAGACCAGGTCTGGGGCTCTTGTGTGTCCTCGGTCCTGTGTCCCTTGGCCGCTTGAGGGAGCCGTCCGGATCCTTTAGGCCTCCTGTGGCCTCCTGAGCACTGTTCCCTGGGCCCATGGCCCTGACTGGAGCCGATGGCAGGGAGCTGGGACTTGCCAACCCGTCAGGGGACAGACCCCCACCTCCTCTCTCCTGACCCCTCCCATGGCCCCAGCCACCACCAGGAGAAAGCAGGGCTGGTCAGAGAGTTTGTTCTGGAGCCTTTGGGGTTCACCTGGAAGCCTGTGTGCCTCTAAGTACTGGTCTGTTCTGGAACAGTCGTCCTCAGACCGGAGCCCTAAGGCAGCACTGCCATCCTTGAGCACAAGCTGCCTTCTCTCAGTGCGCTTCCCCCTGTTCCCAGGTGGTCCTGACTTGCTGGGGGAGGAGCAGCCCTCCCTGCTCAGCACGGAGAAAGGGGGCTGCTGGTTTTTCTGTTTAAAATCCCTTGGGAGCAGTGAGCCCCTGGCGACAGGGAGATGTGTTTCCTGCTTGCCTTTGGGTCCCCAGTGCTTGGTGGAGAGAGGCCCCTGGGCAGTGCCTTTTAGGTGGATGAATGAACGTGGGTCTGTCCTCCCACAGATGACACTAAAGCAGAGGAGAAGGAGCCCATTGAAACACAGCAAAATGGTGACAAAGAGGAAGATGAGGAGGGGAAGAAGGAGGACAGGAATGGGAAGTTCAAATTCATGTTCAACATTGCAGACGGGGGCTTCACAGGTATTGGGGTGGGGCCGTGGACTGAGAGCTCTGTGTGGCACAGGCTTCCTGACTGTGGGTCCCAGGAGTCTGGGCCAATGGCTATTTCATACTAATGTGTGAATGGTTGACATAAGTCCAAACCTTTCATAGTGGTACTGAACACTGAATCTCTAAGGGTGGGGAGATGGTAGGTGGTGGGGGGAGGCTTTCCTAGGCCCGCCTCCATGATGGGCTCGGGGGCACCTCATTCTGCTTCCCTTGGCCGGCTTCCCAGAGCTACACACACTGTGGCAGAACGAGGAACGTGCCGCTGTGTCCTCGGGGAAAATCTACGACATCTGGCACCGGCGCCATGACTACTGGCTGCTGGCGGGCATCGTAACGTATCCTTGGCCAAAGCAGGCTGGGCAGGACTCTGGGCTGTTCCCCTGTGGACCTCAGGGAGGGGTGTGGGGCATGTAGGGTGAGGAGCCAGGAGCCGGTGCTCCGGACCAGATGCCAAGGGCCCTTTCCTGGTGATGATGGTGGTGACAATGACCGTGACCATAACAGTAACTTGTCCCTTTACACTCAGTACTCACTTCATCTTCTCAGCAGCCTTCCAAGAGGGTCACGTCTGTGATCTCCATTGTACAGAGAGGCCAAGTGACTTCCCCAGGGACACACAGCCCACCCGTCTGACCCCACAATGAGTGCTCCGTTATAACTCCTACGTGATGCAGACCTCACCCCCTCCCCGTAATGACACCTAAGGGGATTCACCATGTGGGAGGGCTTTCATTCGTTCATTCAATCTCCAGTTCCAGCTTTACTGATCACCTGCCCTGTGCTAGGCATGGAGGATGCAGCCATGAACGAAACAGCCCCAAATCCCTTCCACCTGGAGCTCACGTCCTACTGGGTGTAGCTGGTGAACAACGTAAATTAGCAAGGTGTGGGGTTCATTGAACACGATAAAGGCTGGGGAGGGGCAAACGGAGCTTTGGGAGTGGGTTGCATTTAATGTGGGAAGGTCACAGGAGGCGACATTTGAGTACAGACCTCCCAGAGCAAGGAGAAGTCCACACAGCTACCGGGGAGTGCACCCCAGCAAAGCTGGCCTTCATGGCAGCCTTGAGGGTGGCTGGTTATTGTAATGAGAGGCGGGGTGTTGTCGATCCGGGATTAATCGGCAGGCCTTTCCTGTAAGAGGCCAGGGAGAGGATATTTCAGGCTTGGCAGAGGACTCCTCCACCCTGCCACAGTAGCAGAAGTAGCCACAAGACGTACACCAACGATTGTGGTCATGTTCCAATGAAACTTTATTTACAAAACAAATTGTGGGCTGGACTTGACCTGTGGGCCATAGTCAACTAATCCTCGTTGTGGAGGTTTAGATGTTTGGAGCCAGCCTGCATGGATTTAGATCTGGCTCTGCCCCTGGCTAACTGTGGGACCTTGGACAAGATCACTTTGTTGCATTTTTTTAGTTTCTGAAGCCTCCAGGGGAGACCCCTTCCTCAGCGTCCCTTGGCTGGCTGCTGCGTCGTTCCAGTCTCTGCCTCCATTGTCACGTGGCCTTCTTCCCTGGGGGTCTATTGTCTGTGTCCAAATTTCCTCTTCTTATAAGGACATCAGTCCCTGGGTTAGTGGCCACTCCACCTCAGTATGGCCCTTTCTTAATCTGATTACATCTGCAGATACCCTATTTCCAAACAGGGTCACGGCACAGCTGCTGGGGGTGAGGACGTTTCCAGCATCTGGATTTTAGGGGTGAAGCCTCAGTGCCATGTCTGGGCCCCTGAGTCAGGCACCTGTCAGTGTCCAGTGATTGTCATGTCACCTCATCCACATGCTCATCTTGCAGCCGAGGTTAATGACTGTCCTGAGAGCACAAAGCCAGGGCACCAGGCCCCGGGCTGGTCCCCCGCCCCCACCCCATGGTCAGGTTTGCCCTTAACGGCGCCCCACCCAGGCACGGCTATGCCCGCTGGCAGGACATCCAGAACGACCCGAGATACATGATCCTCAACGAGCCCTTCAAGTCTGAGATCCACAAGGGCAACTACCTGGAGATGAAGAACAAGTTCCTGGCCCGCAGGTTCAAGGTCAGTCCTCAGGTTCAAGGTCAGTCCTCAGGTTCAAGGTCAGTCCTCAGCAGGGCCGGAGGCTGGGAGAGGGGGACTGCAAGAGGACAGGTTACAGGAGGGCCTGGGGCAAAAGGAGCAGCAACCCCCTCCCTGTATATCTGGATGTGGGCCAGGCTGTCCGTGGAGGGGAGTCATTTAGTCAGTCAACTAACAGGTGCTGAGTCCTTGCTCTGGACCAGGCCCTGCTGGGCGAGCATCCCCGCCCTGGCTGATGGGTGCAGAGGACCCAGCTTGGGGAGGGCTCTAAGGATGGACAGCTGGGTGGGAGTATGTCCTCCTTCCCTCCTTTCTGCCAGAGCCCTGGCCTGTGGGGGAGGCTGCGGGAGGAGCGGGCCAGGCCCGTGCGCCATCCCTCTCTCCTCCGCCTGCAGCTGCTGGAGCAGGCACTGGTCATTGAGGAGCAGCTCCGGAGGGCCGCGTACCTCAACATGACCCAGGACCCTAACCACCCCGCCATGGCCCTCAACGCCCGCCTGGCCGAGGTGGAGTGCCTTGCCGAGAGCCACCAGCACCTGTCCAAGGAGTCTCTTGCTGGGAACAAGCCCGCCAACGCCGTCCTGCACAAGGGTGAGCAAGCACGCTCCCCGAAGGCCCCAGCCTGCCTTCCTCCTGCCTGGGGATCCCTGGCCGTAGATGGGGGCTTGGTGCTGGGGACAGGACACCAGCCCAGAGGGCACAGCCTCCTGGCCAGGTGGACCATCCAGGCCCTGCTCTTTCTTACCTGTGGGGAAAGTGAGGCCCTGGCTCCTCAGGCCTGTTTCTGAAGGTCTGCTCTGGGCAGGCCCTGGGTAGGGGGTTAGTGACAGAGAAGGCTCTTCAGTTGTAAAAGCTTGTTTATTGAGCCTGACAATGTGCATTATTATTTTTTAATTGTTTTTATTTTTTTGAGGGGGGAGGTAATGAGGTTTACTCATTTACTTATTTTTAGAGGAGGTACTGGGGGTTGAACCTGGGACCTTGTGCGTGCTAAGCCTGGGTTCTACCACTGAGGTATGCCCTCCCCGGACAATGGGCTTTAAACACTTTCTCTCTTTAATCCTTGTAATATCTTTAAGTGGTGAGGTTTCTCATCCCATTTCATTTTTTAAGTGAATTTATTAATTCTTTTTTCCTCATTTCTTTCTTTTTAAAATTTTTTTGGGAGGGGAAGGTAATTAGGTTTATTTATTTATTTATTTATTTAATGGAGGACTGGGGCTTGAACCCAGGACCTCGTGCCTGCTAAGAACACGCTCTACCACTGAGCTACACCCTCCCTGCCCTTGTCCCCCTTTAAAGATGGGGACATTGATGCTCAGGGAGGTGAAGTAATTCATTGCCCAAGGTCTCTGGGGGTTCAGGCTTTTGACCCTCGTGCACCAAATCTTGAGGAAGTTTTCAGGCTGGGTAGGGGGAGGGGGCGAACCAAGGCCAAGTTCACTCGGAAGTCCCTGGACTCTCTGGCCCCTGCTGTCTGGGAGATGTTTCCTGAGGCAGCTCTGCCTGTGAGCGTGGACCCTCCCTGGGAGCCAGGAGTCTGGCCGAGGGCTGGCAGGGAAGCCCAGTGTGGGGTCAGAGTTTCTGGCTCCCGCCTGTGCAGCCCACGGGCGGGAGAGATGTTCTTGTGGCAGGTGACTCATCCCTGCTTTGCTGGCCCCGAGGGCCGGGTGAAGGGCGCCCCCTGGTGTTCACTGCCTGGGGTGCAGTAACACAGTAACACACCCTTGTAAGTAAGCACCAGCCTGGGTGCTGCGTCCCAGCTCCCCTGTGCCCCCCTCCCTCCCCAGTCCTGAACCAGCTGGAGGAGCTACTGAGCGACATGAAAGCGGACGTGACACGCCTGCCCTCCATGCTGTCCCGCATCCCCCCGGTGGCCGCCCGCCTCCAGATGTCTGAGCGCAGCATCTTGAGCCGCCTGACCAACCGAGCCGGCGACCCCACCATCCAGCAGGTCAGGCTCGGCCGGCGCCCTGGGCCCCAGCACCCCACACACGTCCTGGGTGCCCCCGGGTTGGGGATGGGGTCGGGTGCGGGACTTTGACCTTTAAACCTGAGTCCTTGCCTCCAGGGCGCTTTCGGCTCCTCCCAGATGTACAACAACAACTTTGGGCCCAACTTCCGGGGCCCTGGACCGGGAGGGATTGTCAACTACAACCAGATGCCCCTGGGGCCCTATGTGACCGGTAGGTGCCCGTCTGCTTCCGGGCAGCATGTGCAGGGGCGCCCGCGGGGCCCCGGCCTGCCCCGCTCCCCGGGTAAGCTGAGCCTTCTGTCTTTGTGGCAGATATCTAGCCGTCCCCGAGACTTCCCTCTGGTGCAGCGCTCGTTTCCTGCAGAGGTAAGGCCACTCGTCCCCTCTCCAGCTTGGCCAGTCGGGCCTGGCCAGAGTCGACCCTGGTCCCTGCGCTGGGTTCCTGGCCCTGAGCCTCGGGGCCTCCACTGCCTCCTGGGGCTCGGAGGGCCTCGCCCCTCTGCCCTGGGGACCATCTCAGGGCCAGTGTGTCTCCCCTGGGGGCTGGGGAGGCAGGACATGG